GCATTCGGTAGAAACTACATAAACTGGCGTAATTATTTGCTCCTCTCCCTGCCTATCATGCGTTGAGCTATTCAAACTAGGTGGTAAAACTCTGGTTCTGCTTTGTATTAGACCTCATATGTCCGGTTAAATACTGTCACTTTGAGTGCTATTTTGGAGAGCCTGACTTCCGGCAGATGAAAAATTTTGTCACATTTAAAAATCGAGGCATCCAACTGCCTGCGTCCATGAGGTTACGCACGTTGCAGCCAGCAACATGCGGTCTCCTCCATCGTCAAAAGGTATCACTCCGCGCACTTTATCGCCGGCTGTGGCGGTCCGCTCCTGCGATCGCCATGGTGGCCACTTGCACACGTCGCCCTCCTGTCCGCCTCACATTCTATGTCAAGTTATTGTCGGACCCGCGAGACTGGGCACCAGCTTTGCAAGAGTTCGGAACCAATCGACACTGCCGACCGGTTGTAGACGGGCAGAGCATAGGCGTACGAGCCGGGGTCCAACACCACACACATACCTGCCTGGTGAGGACGCTTCCTGCAAGCGCCCGAGGTGCTGCGTGTTCATTCTCTGCCTCAGTACAAGCTTCTCAATCTAACCGTCTCCCCTGGCTTTCGGTCAGACAGTTTTCCAGCTGTCGACTACTGTTGAAGGCTCAGATACCCAAGTTCCCCTTAACAACTTCGCACGAGTCTCGTTCTCCATGTCGGGACTGCTAGGGAGGACTGAGGAGGTATGGCGATGGCGAGGTCAGTCAGCCGGCCCGGTGACTAGGTGGGGATCGAATCCTTCAGATGGTGACTGACACTCAAGTCTCACAGAGCGACCGGAAGCATTCGCCACGACATAAGAGCGCCTTGATTTGCAATCAGTCTGCAGGTCGATGACTTGCCAGATCGGTGAATAACCAACCCCTGCGAGCACCTATTTGCGAAATTAGTGAACCTGCTTATGCAACAGTTGATAGTTGCTGAAGGCTGGTATGGTGTCCTTTATCCAGGGAGGTGATAATTGGCCCGAAGACAAGTTAACAAAGCCACTTTCACTCGGTGGCTAACGAGAACCAACGAGGACTACAGACACCTACTTGCCAGACAGTTGTGGCGTTTCGGACGCTGTGCCAATCACTTGAGATAGCGGTTCAGCTGGCCCAGTTGTCCAGAAATATCACTGCTAATAGATAGACTATCCATTCCCTCAACAGAACGGGCTTTACAAAATTATCTCGGGTATTATCCAGTGTCCTAAGAAGCGAAAGGATGATCTTTCAAAGGGCAGGTAAGGCCCAGACTGGCACTTTTTTCATCCATATACGTTTCTGGGACTTGTACACACATTTGAGCGCAACCACAAACTAGAACGATGTTGCTGCTTAATGAAGGGGCAGCCGTTAATCCTTCCACTCCGACTGTTTATGGGGCTGCAGTCAGCCTCTCCATAGCCAGCGGAGCAGCACGACCGCGCCGAGCAACTGCCTTTACCAGAACCCGACCGTTGGCCTCTGGAGTCCTGTACTCTAACCCTTACTGTGCCTTAAGGGAACGGGGGTGATTTATGATAAGGGTCGAAGAGTCGAGACTGCTATGGAGCAGAGCAGATTTGGCGACAGAACGCAACTATGAGAAAGGTCGAATGACATCAAGCAAATCAGTCCCTTGACCATTCAAACTGACGTTGGTGATTATTTTGTGCTAATGGGCTTAACTATTCGTGGTGACCTCAACAACATTCAATCGTACAATACAACCAGCCATGTGGAATTCTTATGAGTATTCAAGTGAAGAGAGAGAGGGAATTAGTGGAAGAAACAAAGGTAGTTTATTGGTGCCGTAGGCACTATTAGAGGGCTCACCGAAGTAATGGGTATTTTCTTGTACACGTCTGTGCCGGCGGCAGGCTGTAGAGAGTCTAAGTCAGGCATGCACACCTGCATTAGAAAATACCGAGGAAAACTGCAAAAGCCGCAGTTTCAATATCGATAACTAGAGGGAAGCCCGTGAAAGTAGCAGGCCCTGTGGGAAAGCCAGCGTTTGTACCTCTGGCAGCTTGGGCATCCTGAATAAGGTCATCCTTTGGTCTTTAGAAGGGAGCAGTCAGAGCCATATTCGTTGCCCATCTCATTGTACTCGGCGCGCAAGACTAATGCCGGGCCGGTTCAGCTTGTGCGGACAAACATATAGGCCATTTCGTTTGAATAAAGTCACCATTCAAGTACAGGTGGCAGGCTGTACATAAGGCTGACAGAAACACGTATTGGGGACAACCACAGGTCCAGGTCAGCAAAATCGACAAAACTTCAAATTTTGCAGTGATTTCCCACGGTGTAATAACCAGGAGCTTCCCTCGCACTCCCGCGTACTGGCACGTTAGACCCTCACAAAGTTACATAATTAAACACGCCCGATTGTTGTGTGAAGATCAGCATGGAAAGCCTCTTACCGATTATCACCAGCATCTAATGGTGAGTCGGATACACAGATAACTAGAACTTGGACACATAAACAGTAAGAAGTACAATTGAAACCCTCAGAAACACAGGGTCACGACATGCGTAATTTAGGCTTTGGTTTGATCACTCAAGGAGACTGTAACAGCATGCTCACCCGAGTCACGAGTAACACAGCCCTAGTAGAACTGGAAACGACGCGTGGGATCCAGTACCTTAGTGCTGAGATCTATGTTCTGGAAGCGAACATCAGAGAGTGACGCAACACCGTGTAAGAATCCAAAATTCGTAGGGCTGGGCCCCGCATTGCCGATGCAAGTCCCCACATGCCAAGAACGGCTCCTCCACAAACGCCAATTAGTAGAAACATCGACAAACCCGCTGGCATAGGTCCGGACGCGTCGGCTGCCGTAGACGCCATGATACAAAGCCGAATTAACGGCGGGGTAGAGTTTTACCTTCATTAAGATTCGGGAGTTTTGAGCCCTGGTTCCCATCTCGGTCCCCAGTTCAGCATGTTAGATAGCTGCAGCAAAACATACTGCCCGCCGACGCGTCAGCTGTGACGGCAGCGGGAGCAATAGGTATGGCTCACCTCTCTGGCTGTCTCACAAGTTCTCCTGACTGTATATCTGCCTGCGGTTTCACTAGTGCCACCCTGATCCTCCTCAACTGTTCTGTTGCCACTGGGTAGAGCGATATCCATAGCCATCCATTTTGCACGATCTCCAGGCCAAGAACGACCACGCTCAGCTAGGGATTCCAAGACTGGAAGCCAACGGCCTAACCAAAGCTCGTGAAGTTTCCAACGTCCCCTCATTAGAATTCTGCTGCGTTAGCTTCGGAGGCTGCCTGAGACTGGACTCATGACGAGCTGGCAAACCGTCCGCCCCAACTACAAAAGATCGTGGTCAGTACGTTACGAACCTAAATTACGCTGATGGGGGAACTACGTTCCGTTCCACAAACGAAACCTGTTGCGCCAACACAGGTCCTACAGCAACAAAGGAGGAACTCTAACTCAACCCTAGGACGATTCCCCAGGGTCGGAGTTGTGTATCTGCATTTTGGCCTGGGTTCTGCGAATAGGATATGTTGACTTCTCTGAAGCCTCCGAGTTCCTTTATCGCGAGTGATTGTAACGGACGTTGGTGCTCTACTCTATACCGGCAAAGCGTCGCTGCGATCAAGGCCTAGCATCTCAGCTCTAAATGATGCTGTGTCTGCGGCAATGCCTCGCGGCCATTCAGAATTAGGAGTGGCATCCAAAGGGGACAACTCGTCACGCATCCTCAGTCTGATTCCAAGAACTCGCCTACCCGATTTTGACGCCAGATGGCCGACAGACTAAGCTGGCGACACCGCCCCCGAATGCTCTTTTGACTAGGATAAAGCACTCTGTGGTTGATGGTTGTCACCCTGAGGGGGTGATAATTCCACATACCTAGGAGCCAGGTTTGCTCCAAACACAGAGCAGGGGCGCTATCGCCCAGATCTCCACTTCTTAAAAGGTCTTCGTCCGCCTTCGAAGAAGCTGAAACGGTGGTAGCGACACCTCGATAGCTACCAAGATCGTTTGTCCGACAACCCTCCGGCCAATTCCCTAAGGTCGTGAGTGTCGAGTCTATGGTATCCGGCCTTAACAACCGGGGAGGCCGGGTCTGCACCTGCCGTCGCAGATCCTAGTGCATGGACGGACATCCTTTCAGACGTTATTGAGCCAGCTAGATCAGGCACGGCTGAAGACATATTAATCAAAAGTACGCGAGTCTGAACCTAACTGCCGACGCGGAGGCAGCCAACAGAGGACGTAGA